ATCCCAGCATCACCATTTCTGATAGCTTGGCCATCCTCCAAGATTGTCTGAACGGATGTAATCAAAAACTCGTTACTGGAGACGTTATCAGGTTGCTGGCTGGAATCAAATGCTGGAACAGGCGATATTTTTAAATTGAGCCCATAAGAGCGCAAACAGCCTTTTTGTAAAACATAAATCAAATGGCATATTTTTATGGATCCTCTCTTTGTAAAGAAATATATAAAATCACAGCTATTGGATTCGCTTGTGTTTTATCCCCCCTGCAACCCCCTCTTCTTAACAGCTGGATAAATAAAATGCTTGTATTTTTAAAAAATCAAAACACTTTTTATGTGAGAGAAATATATATGCACAGGATATTCTGCTTGACAAGGAGAAAAAAAAGAACAGGAACGTAAACTAGCTGTCCAATTGGAACGTATTCTGGCCCTTCCACTCGTTTTTAATTTTCGTGTTTTCTGCCTATATTGACACAAGTTAGATCATTAAGGAACAGGGCCAACCCAGGCTGAGAAAGATACAGCATCCCAGCAGAAAGACCGAGGTCCCGATAAAATCTCTTCCTATATGGGAATCGAACTCAGGTCTCCTGCCTGCAACGACAAAGTTCCTAAACTAAACACTACGCCAGAGACCCCTGTGATAATACACGAACAGAGATACAATTCCTCATAACATATAGTTATCCATGCCGTTTCATAATTTATTACAGCATCCGCGTCCTTTTACCCCCCCCCCCAAAAAAAAAAAGAAGAAAAAAGCAACAACAACAACAACAACAACAACAACAACAACAACAACAAACAAACAACTCCCCCCCCCAAAAAAAACACAACAACAACCAAAAAACAAACCAACAAAAAAAACCAACAAAACAAAAGCAAACAACAAAAAGGAAACAATCAACATGTATTTTCTCTCTGTCTCTCTATATTTACCGAAGCCCACTTTGGCAATCCGTCCCTTGCGTTCTCCAGACAGAAACAAGGCAACGTTTCTCTCATCGATCATAAGCATACATTTACTGGGGGGGAAAGAGGGGGGGGGGGCTGAACGATTGCTTCGAGCGACAGCTCTGAACGGTGCAATCGGATAAACGATATTCGTAATGGGGTCAGTCTAGGTCAGAATCATCACACATCAAGCACCCCGGGGCAAGCACGACAGTCTGATGTGATCTTGGCCTTGTCCCCCCAGCTGGGGTCTGTTAGGCTGAAAAGGGAGACAAGCACATTGGGAACGAGGTGTTGGACGCTACGTTTGGAGGTCTTCAAGACCCCGAGAGGGGATGGGTTCCTCCCCCCCCCCCCCACTGTCTATTATGCATCACAGTTTACGTTCACGGTTTTTTGTTGTTGTTTGTTTGTGCTTTTTTTGGGCATAGTTTATTGCCTAGAGTTTTACTCCATCAATATAGCTATCAACACAGTTCAGTTCATTAGGAGGGTTATGGCCTCTTCGGCCATTCCTGTGAGGGCAACCCTTGCTGAGCAGGATACCACATTCCTGCTCTCATAGAGACAATCATCATCAAGTGCCAGATCTGTAACAGACATCGGCAATCATTGTTTTCCATCCATTTCTTTGTTCGTATGCTTAAGAAAAAGTTAAGTCATCTTGATCTTTCCCTGTTATCCATCTGTTTCGGAAATACATGAAGGGGTTCAAGTCGAGAGAATGAGGTGACCATAAATTTGTAGGCTTTCATCTAATGAGTCGTTTCTCAAACGTTTCTTGCAAAAGTACAAGGGGCACTCTTAATGAGTAGCGTATGGCCTCACGATCCTAGAACCAGGCCTCATCAACAGCGTAACACCCTTTCCTACGGAAATTTCCCCCAAAAGCTTTCAGTATAGTGAGATATAATATCCATCTAATGTGACTGATGGTCATAATTCTACCATCCTCGTTCTGAAAACAGAAATAGCTGATCCCGCTTTTAAGGACCAACTTTTGTATTTTACTCATTTTTGGTTGAACTTTAAAAAAAAAGAACCCCCCCCCCCTAAAAAATCCAAAACCCCAAACCACTCAGATATTTCTCAAACACATGGATTTGTTTTTTAAATCTAAATCATTGCATGTCTCCTAGGTTGAATTTTTTTTTTTTAAAGTTTTGTTGAATTTGGTGCGAACATGGCTGAGTTCTTGTCCTTATAGATGAGTCCTTTTTACTTTTTAGACACCATGTGGAACAGTGCTACTGGTTCTTTCACAAAGCATACCCAGGAATGAGGTAAACCTGGAACATTAAAAAAGAATGCTGTTTTTCTCTTGTGAAGGTCACCACGTTTTGTAATCTATCTATCTATCTATCTATCTATCTATCTATCTATCTATCTATCTATCTATCTTGGATGCAGTCTCCCTAGAGATACGTTTGAGAATACGAGTGGAATGAAAATCATTCCTTCTTTGTGCTCGTGATGTTTGCTCTGTATTTTAATGTTAGTCTGCCCTAAGGCAAGACAGGATTCACAAAGGATTTCAGCTTTCGAAATGAATTGTCATGGAAAAGCGTGTGGAATATCAGGTTAAAAACTCTTGGAATATGATAAAAACAGAAAAATAAAGAGGGAAGAAGTAATAAGAAGAATAAGCATAGAAGCGCCAAGATCCCCTTAGGACATACGAGGCATAGAGACAGAGACAGATACACAGATAGAAACAGAAGTAATACTATTCAGATTATGTCTCAGTATGGTTTCAAACCCTCCCCCCCCCCCGGAAAAAGTCACTTTGATCATCTTAGACAGACACAATGTAAAATCACTTTCAGTCGTTGGGTCCGGATGGAATGACGAATTCTCAAAAGTGAACCATTTAAACATTACATATTATTCCTGACTATAAAGACTGTTTAAATTATGCTGAAGTGGTGTGTCAAAATGCAAATAATGCAGTAATTTTAAGTGGCGTCGGTAGTCGAGTGGATAGGCTATCGGGCTCGTAATCGTGAGGTTGTGGGTTCGGGGTTTCTAGCCTCAGGCCCGTCGTCGTGTCCTTGGAAAAGGCACATTACACGAATTTCCCCCACATCACCCTGATGTGAATGAGCACCCAGCCATAGAAAGCGAATGATCTTGTCAATATGTCATTGATTTAGTGCCTTTAAAATGTCAGCTAGTACCGTATGCTTCGCAGAAAGTTAAGATTGTTTTTTCAGAATTATATCAAGTCTGCTGGGGTAAAAATAGTATAGATTGTTTGGCACATGAAGCTTGCTATTGAGCGGGAATTTGCGCTATAAAAGCTATCTATTAATAAATATCAATATGTTACATCATCATCATCATCATCATCATCATCATCATCATCATCATCATCATCATCATCATCATCATCATCATCACCATCATCATCATTACTATTTTTAAAAATTATAACCCCCCCCCCCCAAAAAAAAAAAAAAAAAAAAAATGGAAAAAAAGGAGAACAAGTCCAGTTTGTTTTTTTCTGCTATTTCTTTTCGCGTTCGTGATGCTACCACATTCATCACCATTGATAGTTGGAACTGCCGACGGCGAAGTCTAATGTGCGAGATTCATACCAATATATCAATACGACTGTGCGAGCCGGAAGCAATTACGGGTATTGTATTCCTGTCATATTTGAATAAGAACTCCACAAAAGTCTCAACACTGAATTAATCAGCGTCTCACTTCTCCGCCAGCCAGGGTGAGAAAGAGAGAGAGAGAGAGAGAGAGAGATAGAGAGAGAGAGAGAGAGACAGAGAGAGAAAGAGAGAGAGAGAGACAGAGAGACTTAGAGACTGAGAGACAGAGAGAGACAGAGACAGACACACACACACACACGCACACACGCACACACTCACACACAGAGAGAGAAGAGAGAGAGAGAGAGAGAGAGAGAGAGAGAGAGAGAGAGAGAGAGAGAGAGCCATCTGCCCTGAGGTACGTGGTATCCAAAAATCCCCACCGCAGACACACCCTGAGGCAGTAATTAATTTCTGTCTTTGAACTTGCTCACCCCGGGTCTATTCGTCATACTGCTCTCTTACTAACCTCCTTGAAGCGGTTTTATGTTCCAGATCCACCGCTTTTTAGTCCTTTGTGAAAAAAAGAAACAGGAAAGCAACCCATTCCCCGAAAACAAGAAGAAGAAGAAGAAGAAGAAGAAGAAGAAGAAGAAGAAGAAGAAGAAGAAGAGCAACAACAACAACAAAAACAACAGTAACAACAGCAGCAACAAAACAACAACAACAACGGCGGTGGCATCTCTTCGGGGAGGATTCAGGGAGGTTGGACTGCCTCACCCGCTACCCAAGGGAGGCGGTGGCCCTGGCGAAGTGCACGCTCCTTGGGGCTCCAAACATTTCGAACAGATAAGCTACCACACACACACACAACAACAACAACAACAACAGCAACAACAACAGCAACAGCAGCAACAGCAGCAACAGCAGCAACAGCAGGAACAGCAGCAACAACAGCAGGAACAAAACAAAACGACAACAACAACAGCAACAATAACAAGTTTTACTTTGGAAGCCTAAACAGATGGATGACGGGCAAAGATCAGGATAAAACTTGTATTGCTTTTTTTGTAAAGCATCTGAGCAAAGGAATGGATGGCGAACCATGACAGCTAATGTGTCACAGATCTGGCACTTGATGAGAATGATTCTAAAACAGCAGCAGAGTAAACGAAAGACTATAGAAATACTAGAAATAGGTAATGTAATACAAAGTTAATTAAACTAGCCGTTAATAGCAGCAAGTTGAAGCAAGTGTCTCCCCCCCCCCCCTCCAAGTCGCAATGAAAGGTGTATAGTTCCTATCTGGCTACCTTTACATAATCTATTCAATTCAAACCTTCTATATCCTCTTGCCTCAAATGAACAACAGAATGAGAGTATGTTGTTCCTATTCGTTATTTTTATACAGTTTATTCGAACCTTTTATATACTCTTGCCTCTATTGCAAAACCGAAACGTCAAATTTATCTAAGTCCCTGAACGTTTATCTTTTCCCCAGGTTGTGTCGCAAGCAGCGCTGAAAGAGGCAAAGGCATCGATACTCAGTGCCTTTGATGAGAACAAGGATGGGAAAATCGATATTGCAGAGGTAATGTCTACGTATCTATCTATCTATCTATCTATCTATCTATCTATCTATCTATCTATCTATCTATCTATCTATCTATCTATCTATCTCCTCAAGAGAAATGTTTGAGAACGTAGTTTGAGATATAAAAAGCAATATTGTATGTACTGTGCACATGATGGTCACGTCGCATTTCAGAGCCAAAACAAGAATAGAAAATGGTTTTCTGAATGACGGGGGATACAGTGAGTTCACTATAATAATTTTTCAAAGGTCAGTTGTAGTTTTTAGGGGTATTTTTTTAATTTACATTTGACTGCAGAATAAAATGAGTTGTTGCAAAAATGGAAGAGGGGAAATATTTCGGCGCCTCAGAACCATTTTGTCCAAAGTAAAGAGGCGCTTTGGACAAAATAGTTCTGAGACAACGATATATCCCCCCTCTCTATAACAATTTAGGTAGCTTTTCTAGAGGGTTGCTTTGATTGCGTTTGACAGTATTAGTCTGCGATGCGCAGAATACACTATATAAAATACACGTATATATTGAGCGAAAGACTACCTAATGTGAGAAACTTAGTGCAAGTCAAAGAGTTGAAACATTATGACGCTATGTATAATGACTGATGCTTTAATAATGGGTACGAGTTCGAGAACCTCCGCACAATTACGACCATATAATGCAGAGAAGAAACATGGGAGATAGACAGAAACAAAAGTAGAAAAGGAAATAAGTAGGACCCACCTGTGGCGTTCTGTAACTACCTGCAACTTTTATAAAATAAGTTAGAATCGTTTTCAGAACAAGAAGCAAAGTATAGTAGATTTTAGAAATAGAAGAGAAAACGAAACAAAACCTGAAAATAACTCCAACAAAACTCTCCACGATATTTACAAATAATGCGAAAGTAAATCAAGGGCAAGAACGGCTTCGACAGAGGAATGTTTTCCATGCCGCTTTTCGGTCTTCTGCAGACGTATTAGCTTTTGAAATTCACATCTGTGTAGGCAAATGCCGGTGCAGAACAGTAGTTATCAAAATGATCTCGCAACAGGCAGCAAACTGGAAAATAATTTATGAAAAAACAACGACCAAACAATGTAAACACAAAGTCTATTATCATTCCTTTTACTTGGTTTGCAAAGACGTGCGGGGAAGGTGGGGGGGGGGGGGTGCCTCGGATTTAAGGTTTGACTTGTTATCTGGGTCGTCGTTCGAATTGTAATTCCAACTGGAAAATTCAATGTGCTCAATTGATTTCGACCGCACCCCATCCTCCATCCCTACCATTAGCAAACACAGGCTTTCTGTTTATATCTCGCAATTTTTCGATAAATGTGCATCTTGTCAACAAGACTTTCTTTAATTATAGTAATCATTTATGATGTATTGTGTTCGCGTCACCTTGGGCACACCTTCACTGCCTTTCCTGTCCTCCTCAACCGCAAGAGACATGATGCTGTCTTTCGTTACTGACAAGAAATGAGAGCTGTACTTCCTCCAACGACGTATCAGGGGCATAAACCGCTAGTACCCACCCAGATTACAGCAAACAAGGGTCTTGGTGGCTGGCATTTGTAGTTTTCGATCCCCCCAAATGCCATGTTGTTACAGAGTGATGTGTGGGAAATGTTGGAGGTTAAGACAGTTGAGGAGAAACAAGCCAACGAGCACACCAGGAATCGAACGATCATTGCTGGGGACGCAAAAGGACGAGACAAAAACCGTTGTTTTTCATGCTCCACACCGGCCGCTGTGTTTTTGTAGGTCATGTTTGGGTTTTTGTAACAAATAGGATATTGAAAGGCGTGGCTCTTAGATAGATCAGGTGATAGATAAGAAAAAGGAAGGGGGGGGGGAGTGAAGATGAAACGATATCCAAAAAGTAGGCGTGACATGTTGATGGGGAAGCCGCGAGACTATTATTATAGTTGGTTTCACCCTTGGTGACGGTGCGAATGACATTGGTTCGGATCCTGAGCAACACTCTCTTCAGTCTAAATTGTTTAAAGAATGGAGCGTCCTCCACCCACTTGAATCATCTGACATACTGGAGAAGGACTTTTATCCACCTTGCCCATTTATATCAGATTGACGCCATCTGATTAGTAGAAACAAAGTGCATATTATGATGGAGTCCAATAGTGTATTTAGTGCATACTTAGTATAACAAGTAACTATAATAGCAGATAGACATTCCAGGGTTATAGATATAAGTCATTGATCTGAGAGCGGTGATGATTTTAGATATAATGGTGGTAATGAGTGATGAAGAGGAATTGCGTTTAAGTAATGTTAGCGTTCTTCCTATCTTCCTCTGCTCCAATGAGTCACAAGGCACGTGGGCACACTCTATCCCGTTCCCTACTGGAACCATCTTTAATGTCACCGTGAAGTTCCGAAATGGTGGGCACAGTTTCTGCTAAGGTGACATTGTTAGTGTTAACCTATTCTATCTGGCCAAGGCAAGTGTCGAGAACTGGAGAAGGACTTATGATTCAGGGATTCCCCCTTTTTAGTTACATAAACGGTTTACTGTATGCGTAGAACCCACCCATAGGCTGTCATTTTTCTTTTTTTTTAAAGTAGCGGGACAATGTACCTCAAAAGGCAAATGTGTTGCAGTGTTTTAGAGTGAAGTATACTCGTATATCAAGACTGTTAGGCAAGGCAAACTGCGAGGAGGCAGAAGGAGAAGAAAGTTAGACGAACAGCTCTGAATTAAAAATAAAACAGGTGTTATGAGGCTTCGATCAAGTCCAGCTATCGAACATAGAGGAAGAAGACAAGTGGAAAGTTCATGGCACCCTAACAGTTGATAGTTTCACAGGACTGAGGATGACTCTACTTCTCTCTTCGTTTATACAACAACCTCGGAATAACCTAAAAATTGCTCGTTTTTTGTTTGACAGCCTAATCTAAATCCTTGCAAAAACAACCAGAAAAGTGGTTTTACTCTTGCCTTTTTATCTGTAAACCAGGTAGATTCATGGCATTGCCTCTCTGAGTTTACGTTGGGCGCACCACAAGAAAAGAACAATTCTCCTGGAGGCTGCAGTGTTGAATTCCTTTTGATTGAAAACGGGAAGTAAAAGAGACCCCGAGGCCTTCCAGGAAAAAAGTCTTAATTCTCGCCAGCTGTTCAACCCCAACAAGTACCATAACAGCCAAGTGCGAAACCAGCTAAGCCCTGGGAACACCACTATCGGAAGAAACGGTTGAAGAAAACTTGTCGAAGAAAGGAGAACCACAGACACATTTGCATATCTTTCAAGACCTTTCAGCTTGGTTCTTGAGGGCACAGGCTAGAGTTTTAACGATTCAGGCTGTCGGTCTGGAAATATACGAGGTTTAGGAGAGAAGTGATCAATATGGACAAAGTATGTCTGATCCTCAACGGTGAATACCTCTTTAGACAGAACGGTAAGTTACCACATTATCCGTAGACAAATAGTACACATCGAACAATCGCGTTCCATAGTACATTTGTACTATCAAGGTGCAAGAAAACAAAGTGACAGTGCTTTTCTTATAAGCATAATGATGTTCCAGTATCATGATCCCAAAATGTTACTTTATGGATACCATATAGGGTTGCTAGGTTAGCTCTAGTTCATACAACTATGATTTTTCCAATCCTGGGGGCGGGGGGGGGGGGGGGGGTGTGTGGAGCATCTAGCAAATGGTTCAATAGAGTGCTCATAAAAAGTGACACAAATCATAGTCGGATCAAATTGTTTATTTAGCTTCATGACGGACTAAGATGTCTTTCATGTGTCCACCTTGGCACCTTTGCACTATTTGAACAGACTTGGAACAATGTTAGGTCTCCAATAAATAAATTGTCATATTATCCCAATACTCATCCTATATTATGTAGTCTAAATTCCAAGAGGTCCTAATCAGAGTGACAGAGAAAAGTTCTGCTATCCCCATTTGCAGCATGGCACGTAAGACCGAAAGAATAAAACAGGTCATACCTAGGTTGCACAATTAGACCAAAGGCAAACAGTGACACAGAGTTGAAAAAGAGGACTGCAATATCTAAAGAAACTTTCAGCTGAATGAAACCTATCCTCTCGAATAAACACGTAGCAGTGAACACAAAAATAAGAACCCTGAAAGTGTACGAAAGGCCAATCCTTTTGTATGGATGCTAGAACTGGACTCCTAGCAAAGATACAGAGAGGAGACTGGAGGCTGCTGAAATGTGGTATTTACTCAGAATCTCATGGACAGAGAGGAAAAACGAATAGAGAACAGCTCAAAGTGGCGGGTTAGGAATGATCAATACTCAGAACCATAAGAAAGTACAATTTAGATTATTTGGCCACGTAAATAGATCAAATGGCCAAGAGAAACTGCTGCTGTGTGGAAAGACAGAGGACAAGAAGAGCTGAGGAAGGCAAAGAACGACATTCACAGATGGCCTGAACAACTTTGCAAAGAATAACACAAAGAGTAAACCTGAGGAGATCAGGAAGACGGACAACAGGAAGGAATTGGGTACCATGTTGGTCAATATCTACCCCAGACCTATATATTATACTGTGTATACACACGCACACACACACACACACACACACACACACACACACACACACACACACACACACACACATATATATATATATATATATATATATATATATATATATATATATATATATCATATATGTGTGTGTGTGTGTGTGTGTGTGTGTGTGTGTGTGTGTGTGTGTGTGTGTTAAGGTGTATGTAATATAATATATAAATATATCATTATAACAAATATGATCAAGATCTGGCAGCTTTCTTTCATAAAACTTAACGCTACGCTGGTCAAAACCTGATCACGCCTAATTTTTTTCTGGGTGTGAATTTCTTTTAATTTCTGGCGCGTTCATGTTCTTCGAGAATAGTTTGAAACGCATTCTCCCAGACATGAGCATAAAAAGTAGTGGACGAAATTTACAATAAAACGCAAGAAAAAAGCAGACAAAAGAATATTTAGAAGAAAACAATGAATGCTACTTGGAACTTTTGTTCCACACATTGAAAACATAGTGCACTCAGAATCGATTTTCCTTCATTGACAGACAGCATTATGTTAGACTGATTGCTCAAGCATTTCTACATCAAACTTAAAGCGGGTGAATGCCGCTCACTCTGACTCAAATACCTCGCGTCCACACCCATTAAGCAAACAGCTTTGTGTATCACAGACCCTTAAAGTTAAACAAACACTGATTCGCCGAGCTTTTACATAAAGGTACCACTGTTTTCAGCTATTCAGTTATTTATAAAAGACAAAAGCAGTCAAATGTTGATTTTTTTTCCTCCATAGATCCGCGCCCCTCCACCTCTCCCCCCCCCCCTTTTTTTTATTGCGAAGCCTGTTTCATAAGATCGAGCAGCATGAGCAATCACTCCAGATCTTTAAACAAACTTCGAGTCATTTTAGTGCAGGGCTTTAAAGAAAGGCATTATGCAAGCGGAAGCTCCCAGTGGGAAGAAAGAAGATGCAGTTTGTTAAATGAATTAATCGTTTTGATCTCGAATACAATTTCTTCGCTTCTTTTTCATCCGGAAGTTTCACAAAGCCATTGTAAACTGGACAATTTTGTTAAACACTGTAGATGCAGTTCACCAGCCACCCGTCACCATGCCCGTGATTATTCGTTCATGCCTTAGACTGCTCGTTGCCACAACAAGTCTCCAATTTTTCCCGGTCTCTGCTTTGCTGAATTAAATGAGACAGTTGTAGACTACTGCCAACATATTTACTACTCCAAAAAGAGCGGGTACAGGAAGGTTAAGAAGAGTGGTACCAAGTGGGCATCAACCAATAGACCCACTAGACATTGTGGATAGATAGATAGATTGGAGTACCTGCGCCTGTGGTGAAGTGGTTAGGCCGAGTGTCCATCAAAGCAAAAACGACTCAATTTGTTTCGGGAGAAACTAATTCAGTCTGTTCGTCTTCGGCGCGCGTATCCACGAGTAGCTCCAAAGACTCTGTGTCAATTCTCGGTATCGGAAAATCAAGAGGTCATAATACGCAAGGCAAAAATAAGAAATGAATGGGTTTTTAAAAACGTTTTAATAGTAAAATTGTACATATGTTTTAAAACCAGATGGTTGCTACAGTTATCGCTAATTTTGAGGAGCTGATTACGAATATGATATTAAGTTTTTTCGTTCAAACTTTCGGAAAGTGAGATAATATTTTCCTTAGTTTTGGTTTGGCCTATGACTGATGAGCCACCACATGGCCGATTATATTTCCACATGCAGCATTAAAACAGACCCCTTTTCTTTGTCGGAAGGTGCCTGTCGTTTTGGTGGAAAAAATCTAAATGGAATTTTCACTGATTGTTGAGGTAAAAACCGGCGTTCTATTTCAACAACCGATTGTCGGAGAGACGGAAAACTTAAGGTTGGTCGATTTCTTTTTTGGAGGACACTCGGGTTTAGGTGCTTCGCCGTCACACTCAGATGCTGTAAGTTTGATTCAAGAGTTGGGAGGATGTCATATCCCACTCTTCTCCGGATGGTTCTGGCAGGCACGGTCGAAGCAGCCCGTCTCTCTGCTATCTAAATTGTCTCGATTAGGACGTAAAGCTTGAACAGATACAGACGGGTGCGTCTACTTTTTTTGATATCAGAAAAGTGACGTACATACTTGTGTGGGCTTACAGAAACACACAAGAAGTCGTGCACAATATTGAGAGCAGTTGCTCATAGAAAATGATGCCCCTGATCTCATTATCTCGTCTAATGCCATCATGCTGCGTGCAGTTTTACGGTTAAGGTCGCTAAATGAGCTTAAGTCAAGAGTGTTTTTTGTTATAGTAGAGTGTTTTACGGCGCTCGCAACTGCATAAGGTCATAAGTCAAGAGTGTGTTCTGCTGCAATATCTGACCCACTTTCTTGACTGCACAATGCAAGAGGTAGAATGCTGTATGATTATGAAGGTCTTTCATTTCACCTAGGGAGAACTGAAGCAAGAGCCATATTAGGATCGAGAGAGAGAGAGAGAGAGAGAGAGAGAGAGAGAGAGAGAGAGAGAGAGAGAGAGAGC